CCCGAGTGCCTCAAAGTCTTGGTGGGCCCAGACCGTCACTCCAGAGCCGGCTCTTCGCGGCCCGGAGCCCAGTGAAGGCCGCGGGGCGCCGGGACCGCTCGGTCCCCGGGACCTTCGCGCTGGGAACCGTTTCCGGGGCGGATGCTTTTTACAGCTGATCCGGCGCGGCCTGTGACGCGAAGGCCCAGGCGGAAGTGCAGGCGGAGGGTCCGAGTCGGTTCCCGGACTGGGAGCAGGTCTCGGGGCTCCGGGCTGGGGGCCGGCTGGGCTCCCGCGATGGCAACCCTGTGCGGAGGCCTCCTCCGCCTTGGCTCAGTGCTCAGCCTGTCCTGCCTGGCGCTCTCCGCGCTGGTGCAGCTGACAGACGCCGCCAAGGTGAGTCCCGCCCCGCCTTCGCTCCTGACAGGAGCTCCTCCCGTGCCACCGGCCTCGCGGAAACCAAACGCTGCCCGCCCCAGCCCTCCGCACCCCGACAGCAGACCCCCACCCTCCCTGAGTCCTCCTCGTCGCCTGTAGCCCTCGCCCTCAGCCCTGACAGCTGGAAGTCGCAGCCCGATGCCCTCCCCGGGCCTGGGCAGCAGCTCCTGCACCGCCTGACACTTCCCCTTCCACCTCCAACGGCAACGGCTTCAAACTTACAGCCTTTCCGGCTCCGGAGCCTTTGGGTCTCCAGCCCTAAGCTCCGACTGCCTGCCCCGCCCGCCACCACCCTCACAAGTCCTACAAGTCTCCAAACTAAATGATAATAAGAAGCCCTCATCTCCGGAGTCTTTCCTATTAGCAACTCACCCCGAGCAGATACCCAGCCCTTTGTGGGAACGTGCCTCGCTGGCAGCCTCCCTCCCGATGCGACCCAGAGTATGTCACTAGTTTAAATTCTCACCTACCTCCTTCCAGGACCTGTTGGCCCCCCTCTTACCGTCTCTTCCCCAGTTTTCTGGATAAGGGGAGAACCAAACTATAGGACAGGTGAACTTGTGGCCTTTCCCCAAGTTCCATTTCTGAACCTTTCTGTTCCCCGCATTCTGTTTGTTCTCTGATGCCTCCAATCTCTAGATCTGCCCTGACCCCATGCATACTTGGGCTTCTTCTTTGATGAGCTAACTCATTATTAGGCAAAAGGGAAGGAATTCACATTAGTGTGTTGGGAAAATAGAATGACGTTGCATTTAAAAAAATAACTTTAACCTATAAATTTTTTAAATATAGGGGCTGGAAAAAAAAACGGGTTATAGGAAGGCAGATGTTTGTTTGTAAATCAGTTCCTTTCAAAAACTTCCTGACCTCCTACTAGTAGTTCTCCTGACTTTCACAACATTGCTGGCGTTCTCTGCAAATTGTCCATCATCACTTTGTGTAGTACATCATGATCGTGTGTTTGTCAGTCTCTCCTTGCTAGGGTGTGGCCTAGTGGGCAGGAACCATGTTTTATGCTTATCTGAATCCACCGCATTGAGCACAACTTCTGGCAGGGCAATACATGTCCTAAGTGGTTGCTGAATAAGTTTATGAATTGTCAACAGCTCTGTCAGATGCATCATTGTATGTAAAGCAGTGTTCCTGGATTCCATCATCACTTTGTGTAGTACATCATGATCGTGTGTCAGTCTCTCCTTGCTAGGGTGTGGCCTAGTGGGCAGGAACCATGTTTTATGCTTATCTGAATCCACCGCATTGAGCACAACTTCTGGCAGGGCAATACATGTCCTAAGTGGTTGCTGAATAAGTTTATGAATTGTCAACAGCTCTGTCAGATGCATCATTGTATGTAAAGCAGTGTTCCTGGACCTCTTGAGACTGATGAAACACCGCCTTTTCAAATAAATTCCTCTTTGCTGAGGAAGCATTTCCTGTTCTTGCTAGATATTTAATCACCTCTTCCTCCACCACTTGAAACTTGTTAGTAGTTGTTCTCTTAGGCAACCAAGATTAGAAGCAAAGTCCCCTGAAGAGTACAGCAAACTGATCTCAACTAAAATCAAGCTACTTCCCTTCTAGTTGAAGCTGAGTGTCTCTAAAACTTCATCCCTTCTATGGGACTCTCGTTTAACTCCTTTTATCCATATTAGTGCCTTTCTACCAAAGAGTAAAAGATGATAGGTTGAAGAATTGTGACTTGTGTGTGCTTTTAAGGCATTCCACAGAGTTATATCCCCAGAATTGTGACTTGTTGTTCATGAATAATTTTTAGTTTGATTCTCCCTCCATTCTTTTGTAATTGGCATTCTTATTTCTAGGTACAACTTTTGTCATCTGGCAGGTAGATGTTGATAACAGTAACACAATTTGATTGTTATGGGATTCATAAAGATAATACATCAAAGAGTATGGATTAGGTATTTATTTAAAAATAATTGTATATAATATATAATGATTGTTTAGCTTTACCATAAAGGCCTTGTGGTGTTAAAAAATTTGTATTTCTCAAAATTAGTGTTTTAGAATAATTGACAAGGGATATCTATCAAAATGTTTATGTGCAGTTTTTAAAAATATTGATAAACTACAAACAAATTATATCATTTTTATTTTGGTTACAGAATTTTGAAGATGTCCGATGTAAATGTATCTGTCCTCCCTATAAGGAGAATCCTGGCCATATTTATAATAAGAACATATCCCAAAAAGATTGGTAAGTATTCTGGATCACCGAATTACTTGTCGGAATTTTTCTATAGCTATCATTGTTAGTCTAAAATGTTCATCCAATATATCATTTTCTTTTTAAGTATTTCTTTTTACCATCCTATTTTCATTTGGAAAAAATGAGAATAAGGCCCTGAGTACATGATATAATCCTAAAGGAACTATAGCCTAACTACTGAACCCCCATAGCTACCTTCCTGTGTCCCCTTACGTTTTGGTGAGGGACCTTTCCCCCTTTTGCTTTTCAGTGAACAGTAAACAACCTTCTTTTATCTGGGTCATAATTTTTCTAACTTGTAGGTTATGATAATTGCCAAGTATGGCAGGCTATGTTTACAAGGGTCAGGTAGCTTAGGAATGAACAGGAATGAGCTATATACGTCATACTTACCCATTGGTATGTGTACCCGTATTATAGACAGCCAAGATAGAGAGTGAGCAGTTTTGACAATCTGGCAGGCCTATAATGACTGGAATCCACCAGCAGCCTTCTTTATCCCCGAAGACCTGACAAATGGTAGCTTGTTCTATATGTGCCATGGAACATTTGGGAAGCAGTTGTGGTATAGCAGGTTGGATGTGCTTCTTGCTATGGAACTGTAATATTTTATGGTTTGTAATCACAGTGGAAGATTGGTGGGATAGGAATCAAAGGAAAATGGCTCCAAATGCTAGGTACTTTCATTTACCTAGTTTCAGAGCTCAATAACCAGGAAAGAGTTTGAAAACAAGATCAAATTCATTCAACCACAGTATTCTGAACTGACTTTGAAAAGGAAAGGCAGCGTTGAAACGTATTTAGTTTCTCTAATAACCCTGTTTATTCTTTCTATTATATGCTGTTATAGTTTCGATCTAAATATCTCCCAACAGCCCCATGTACTTGAGAGGCAGGACTTTTGGAAGCTGGTTGGATTACGGGGGTACTATAGCTTGCTTGCTATTAGGAGGAAGCCTGGTTAGAGGTGGATCACTGTGGACATGACCTGGAAGAGTTTATCTCCCTCCCTGGCTTCTCTCTGCTCTCTCTGCTTCCTGGCCTCCATGAAGTGACCAGCTTTCTTCTTCCCAGGCCCTTCAGCCGTGCTGTTTCTGTGTTTAAGCCTGCCAAACATGCACTGAAACTTAGGAACTGCCAAAACAAGTGTCTCCTCCTTTAAACTGCAAGTTCGGGTATTTTGTTCCAGCAACAAAGGAAAGTTACTTGCATTTAAGTTCAGTCTCTTTTCTGTGTTCTTGAGAATATAAGAGATGACCTGCTGCAAACTGATTTGACTATGCTACTAAGTGACTTGGCTGTATTCTTACTGGTTTTATATCAGCAAGTTCCTTTATACAATACAAGCAAAAGATATTGAGTGCTTACTGTTTATTATCAGTAAAAGAATGTGATGCCTATTGTTTGAGGGGCAGATGAAGACATTGGTCAAGTATTTAACGCTAATCTTTTCACCAACTTTTTGTTATTCCAGGTTCAGATGAAACCATATGTTGTTTACACCTGGTTATTAGTCAAAACAGGGGAGCTTTGAAAATTTAAACAGTTGAAAACAAACCCTGTTTGAGATTTTACTTCCCTGCCCCAAACTTTCTCATGCTTCTTTGCTGAAGCTTAGCCTTTTACTGGGCTAGGTTCCCATTTGGCTCTGAAAATGTTTAACTGGCTTTAGAAAGGCAGGCAAGTTATGATTAACCAGGATGTATGGCTTCCTGAGTCCTCCAATATCTGGGAAGTCCCAAATAAATCTTTACTTTATGTTTTCCAGACCTCTTATTTTGTCCACTTGTTAGCTTTAGTTCTTTGTGGACTCATACTGGCTGATTTGAAATTTAAGAAAAATTAAGTGTAGTACTCTAGTTTGTTTCAGGTGTGACTCCAAGCTTGTAATGTCTTCCTTTTGGCTCTAGGGGGTGGTATTGCAGAGTTCCTAAAGTCTTTTGAGCTGGGTCGAGATCTAGCTGTTTGTAGCGCTTGGTCAGTCAGAACTCATCTTCCTGCTTCTTCTTGAGCCATGCACAACTTTTGCACAGTGCTCAACACTTTTTTGTTGCTAAAATATATTTGTAGTTAGGCACCGTGGCACACACCTAAAATCCCAGCACTCTGGGTAGCTGAGGCAGGATTGCACATTCAAACCCAACCTGAGCAACTTAGCCACTTAGCAAGATTCTGTCAAAAAATCAAACAAACAAAAAACGAATACTGTAAAATATATTTGTACTTCAGAAAAAAACTCAATACCTACTAAGTAAGTGCTTAGATGCCAGGTGATTCTTAGATACTGTTTCTGAGTCTTGTAAATCTGAAAGAAGTAGAAAGTCTCTTTTTTTCCTTCAGGTTCAAAGAGATAAGAGGTTGATCTAGGAAGCAGGAGACCTAGATCCTGATCATTTTCCAGCTGTTGCCTTGTACAGGTGACTCCTCTGAGCATAGGGCTGGATGACTTCTGATTCTGAGATGGAGAGCCCTTTTGGGGGTGTTGGTGTTTAACTTCCTCAGCCCCTTTCATGTGTGCATTAGCTGGACACATGCCGGGTCTTCTATATATCTGGGACAGATACCACACACAGTGCAAGGTCCTAAGTTCAATTCCCAGTACCACAAAAAAAAAAAAAAAAAA